GGCCAGACATAATAGAAATAAAACAAACACTATACAGGATTAAAATGATGAGACTAATTTTTCTATGGATACCAGCCCACATAGGAATAATAGGAAATGAAAAAGCAGACAAAATAGCAAAACATACTACCAAAAACAATATAGTTGAAATAGAAATAAATTTCAGTAAAACAGAAATAAAAAGTATAAAACTAAAAATTAGAGAAAAATGGCAAAAACAATGGGAGGAAGAAAGAAAGGGGAGATGGTTTTATAGAATTCAACGAAAAACAGGAGAAATGAGGAGTACTGGAAGAAACAAGGGGGGATACCAAGGCTCAGATTAGGACATGCAGGGTTTAACAAAACATTATTTATTTTTGGAAAACAAAATTTGAGTACTATGATGAGGATATAGAACATGTATTAATACATTGCCAAAATACCAAAATGAAAGAACTCAATTAACTAACAGACTTAACGAAAAGAAAATAAGGTTAGACAATAGCACAAACGCTCATTTTAACTGCACGAACCTGCACAAACGAAGCACTAACCAATCCGCTTACTTGCTTGGATTTTTTATGTGGGTGGGGTGTCAGCTTCACTCAGCTCTCTCGCACGTATTCGCGCGCGTGTTTATACGTCAAGATTATGGCCGCTTTGGCGCTTCATAATAACATGCACTGGGTGGAAAGTTGGTTCTCACAGTAAACTAAAACAAACCCCCACACAACCCTCTAAGCACAAAGTTCTTACAAACGATCGGGCTGGTGGTGAGACGTAAAGTAAATATGAAGACGCACGTGTCTCAACTAGCCTGRGAACACATTGGGATCCTCCCAGAAGAGCAGATGGGGCTGGGGAAAGATAGGTCTTGGTTTCCCAGTTCAAGCTGATGCGACTCGACTCCGGATAAAGCATAAGATAACGGACGGGTGGATGTTTGAGAAAAAAAAGTAATAATTGTAAATAATTTATTGATATCAGCATTTTCCTCTGAGCGTCACTAGAGGGTGACAGAGTTCCACCTTTAAAAAAATTCCGCCTTGTATTTTTATTTTTCTATATTCTCCTTCTTTTGAAGTAGGTCAAAAGAAGGAGAATATAGAAAAATATAATTTCATATATAATATAAAACATAAATTATTATAAAGAAGTATTAATGATAATAAAACGATTAGGCAATATACTGTAAATATAATTTATTCAAAACTTTTTCCACTCAAAGTACAACAATCAAAAGAAAAAACAAGAAACGTTCTGAATGAAAAGAGTGAAGAGTGAAGAAAAAAGTCTTATGTCTGCCCCTCATAAGAATAAGTTCAACTTTACAACAAACGTAACCTTGACCAATTTCCAAATTTATTTAAAAAAAAAAAACAAGCAAAAACAAACATCTATCCATTTATATCATATTTCCTTTACATGGCATCATATTTTTCTAATACCTTTGATTTAATCACTAACACAGAACTGTTTTGGATCAACAGCAGCTGTTATCTCTTCCATTAATTCCATGAGAGCCATTGATGCTGAATTACAGTATTTGTTCTAAACCCAATAATATCAATAAATAATGATAATATATGATTAGGCTACATATAATGTGCACATATAGTTCATTGTATCTACATAAAAATAATACCAGAAGAATAAATGATGACAAAATGATTAATATTGAATAATATACAGGTATATGATTAGGCTATTTACAATTATATGCCCATTTAAACTATATATAGACAATAAAAAAAGGATCCTCAGAGGGTGGTTTGGAGCTCTCATTGCAGTGAATCCATCTCTTCCCACATCTTCATCTTTTATGGGAAACCTTCAAAACAAAAACAAGAGATTTAGTAGTGACTACACACAATTGTCAGGAGGAGGTCAATCTTATTTTCTTCATTATACTTCCTATGTTCTCCCAGTTTTACTATTTTCCATTTTCACATTTCTCAGACCCTTCAACAAAACTCTTCTGCTGCTGCATAATATCTGTTGATAATGAACCAAAACTGCTAACATTGTGAGTAGCTTGTTTGAAAGTTATTCCAATCAGATCTTAAGTATTTTGTTGTGAAAATGACACATCAGTGAGGGTGAAAGAATTAACTACATGTTAATAATAGTATGTGCCATCTGTGTACAATTCCCTGGTGAATGCTATAACAGCAACATTTGTTTAATTTATATTGTTGGTGTTTGGTGTCAGTTAATCTAAATCAGTGTAAAGGAATAAGTTACACTTTATGATTTATAATGTCGTACTTAGCTTTCATAGCCGGATGGATTAGCTGTCATTTCAATGGTGAACATAAATAAAGTACAGCAATATTTTACTCACAAAATACAAACAGTAATAAGTTCATCTTACGTGTGAAACTTTATCTTTCGAGCTCTGATTTCAATATTTTGTCAATTAGAACCAAAATATGCCGCACAGTGCTGAGCTGAGGCATCTTTTGTGGTCTGAGTTTAGCCAAGGAGACCGTTCTAAGATGGAGGCCGTATTTCATGCGCCGCAGCAGAGAATGCTGTTTCTATTCTATATATGATCTGTGCGCAGAGACCCCTACTTTTTTTTAATTGTAATATAAATTCAAGTGCACAAACGTTTAGGGATATAACAACAATAAACAGATGAAATAACATTTTCAAGGCACAAGATAGAACAGAGCAAACAATAGAAATAAAAGAAAAAAATTTGTACACATTCACACCCACATTCACACAATTGTACAACTACAATCAGAAGTCTTCAAATATTTTCAAATTTTCAAATCCATTCCATAGAGACTTTGCATTCTTACATTTCATTTGTTTTAAAGCAATTAAATAATTTTCAACAAGATGTTTTTTAAATACATTAAAGATAGGTTTTACCTTTTTCCATTTACAGCAATGAATGAAATATTTTGACATCAGTAATAAATTGTTTAAAACATAGTCTGATTGTGAGTCCTTCAAGTTCAWTCCAAATATTATGTTGTCCAGAGTAAGTGTGTCCTGTAGCTGGATCTTTGTAGAAAGCCAGTCCAGAAAATCTTCCCAGAAAGTTTTTGTGTAAATACATTGATAAAAAAGATGATCCGTCGTTTCGATGTTGGATTCACAAAATATACAGTTGTTATGGTCAATGTTAAATCTCATTCTCAGCATTTCATAGGATGGATAAACTTCATTCAAGATTTTAAAATGCACGTCTTTAACTTTTGGACTTACAGAAATTTAAGATAATGGGTTCTCCATTTTTTTAACCTCAGTTTCGGTGAATTTATGAACGATAGAGTTTCTTTTTGAGCATATACAGCTTGTTGTTCCGATGATAACGTAGGATTTTGTTAGGTATTTCTTTGTTAAGAAATTCCTATTCAATGACATACAGAGTTGGCAAGTTAGGAGGGGGTTAATTTTCAAAGTCAGTATTTTGTACAAGTTTTAAACTGTTTCAGGAACTGCTTTGCATATTTTATTAAATTCAGCTTTTTTACAAGTAATATTATAAATGGAGCAACAGTTTTGAAATGACAACCAGTTACCCTGATTATCCATGAGGTGAGTTATTGACCAAATGTCTTTATCCATAAAAGCAGACCACTACTTGCCTACTTGGGTGAACCTGGTGACCCGGTAGGAGGAGCCTGTGGCTTCCGCGTCTTTTCCGCCCTCTTCCAACGTTGCCAGATATGTAATATTTTTCGTATTTAAATAATCATTTGGGGTTTTCACGATAAATAGATTAGAAAAACCCAAATATACGATAGTTTTAGCATTTTCTTGTATCGAAAAATACTAGTACAATAAAATGAAATAGCTTTCAAGGAACAATGAGGTGTTTTACTTGTTTTTGTTTTTACCTGGCAACCCGCACCACACTGATTTCTCACCCTAACACATCGGGTACCTTTGTGTGTGCGCACGTTTCCGTTTTTCGCCCCACAACTACTTACACAAGTTTAAAACGGTATTAAAACATTTTATATGTCTTTGCTGCTCACTTGAAGCAACGTGTCATATTAAATCGGGYGGTGCTGTCGACTTCCTTCATCCATGGTTTGCGGGAGTCCCGGGCCCCGGCACACCGGCTCCGGCTCCAGCCATGTCGAGTGCAGCGGCTGGCGGCGGTGACAGAGCGCGAAGCGAACCGGCAGGTGATCGATATTTTAACAYCACGCATTTATTATAACCACTGAAATGCTCACATGTGCAGACTGCTGTTGGGCACCGGCTGTTTTATGAGCTCGGTCAGGGAAAATGGAGGATGTTTATCGGCGATTTACGGGAACTTTGCTGAAAGTAGGTCAGTAGATCAGTGGAGCAAACTCGCCCTCTACGCCATTTATGCAACACTACACGACCTTGTGTTTGTCACATCGCCTGCCTTTTACACAGTTTACTGCTATCGAATAGAGTTTGTCAATAAGGATAACATTATTTGCTGTTAAACGGTGTATTTTAATCATCGCTAATGATGCTAATCTTACAAACAAACCCAGCTTAGCAGTGACATCAAGGCCTGATTGGGAGGCAATTATCGGTGCCTCTCGAAAAGATGTTTGTTTAGCTCTGGACAGCTTGTACTAATTTTATTTTTGAGATTTAAAATCTTTAAAAACGAGTGGTGTCAAAAGTGGTGTTATTATCTGGTGATGTTTTAGCTTCATCCTGGTTGTTTTGACCAATGACTAAATCGTTTTAGCGGTTTTTAAAATGTATAATTATTCGTTCAGCGTTAGCATGTTATGGCAGGCCGATGTAACATATAATCTAACTATACACTATTTAATTTGTAGACATTATAAACATTCGTTTTTGTCAAATTTACAGTATTACCAATCAGAATAGAACTGAACACGTGTATATTATACTAGTATTGATACCAGGCTATTTATTGTTCTAAATAGGAATTATTTATGAATCTCTGGGACTGAAAGTCCTAAAACAAATTAAATGAATAGGAAAATCGTGTGTTTGTAAAGTCAATTTCAGCCTAAACTAATTAATGTTGATTTTGCTCAGGATAGATAGTGTTACAGCTGTCTATTTTAAAGATCCTTTATGAAATGTTTCAACAAAGAAGAACCCATGAGAGAACCTTACTCAACCTTGTTAGATCCTTTCTGTTATACTTAACAAATTTGCTTTTCATCAAAATTCTGCTTGCCGTATTCATCCATTCCTAAATTTGATGTGAAAGCAATTCAAAACAAACACTTTATTCATGAAATTGAAAGTTGAAAAGCACAGAAATTATATCTTTTGAGTTTTAAAACCTAATTTTCTAAATGTTTGACTACCCGGTACTTGCCATGAGCAGTAGGCCCATTGGGATATTGCTTCTGTACAAAAGGGTAATTTTTTTAAATTAAAATAGACAGTTTTGTTGCTCAGATTTACATAAAAATTTAGGTCAAACAGGGTGACTTAATTTTTTTTATTTATTTATTTATTTTTATTTATTTTATTTTTTATTATTAATATTTTTTTAGATCCGTGGAGGGGAATTGAGCATTTATGATTTGGTTTTGTAGAAAATACAAGAAGGCAGTTTGTATTTTTGGGAAAGATTTTAGTATTAATAAGGGCTTAGCATTATTATAAGGTCACATACTTTGTAAGCAAGTAAAATTTGCTTTTGTAACACTATTATCAGATGTAAAAATAACTCAGTGCTTTACAATCAGAACTTATATGAGAGCGACACAGTGCCATAAAATTTGCAACAAACAGACAAAAAAGCAATAATACGTACTATAAATGACCTAAAACAAAAACGCTTCTTTTTAAACTAGCAAAAATGGACTTCAGATGCTTTTAAAGAAACACAATAAAAGATGTTTTAAGTTATCATGGGAGACATAAATAACTTTACTGAACTGAAGACAGTTTATTTTTTATACTTCTAAATCAGGGGTCTGCAACCTTTACAATCAAAAGAATCATTTCTGCTCCTCGGCACAGAGCCGCAAAATAAGGTACAACTGTGATTATCAACTGGTGGTCCGTGGGCCTTTTAAAGGCCTTTTCGTGAACCTTTATGGCCAGTGGAGGTGACCTAAAAGGTAAACCTAAAAAATACATTGTGAATTTTATTATTTTTTATTATTTTTACACTTCAAGACTGAAGAAAAAAAACATATTCATGCACAAGAACAATACTGACTACAGTTTATACAGAGTTTCATAAAAACTAGTGCAGCTGAACTAATCAAACATTTTTTTCTAATTCTTATAATGTAGTCCTAAAGGTGTTTAAAGATGACCCTGATGGATTTGAGAGAAAGATTATGGGAAGAAGTTGGATTATTTAGGTAGAAAACAGGCTAGCATAAGCTAACATATTTTACTTTTTGTATTAGTATTTTTGTATTAATAGTATTGATCACGTATTTGCATAAAATTTATTAGCGTTGTGAGTATAAAAACAAAAAAATATGTTTGTATTGTTAATAATTATAATTGACTTAAAAAGTAGATAAAAGTTTGAGCTACCAAATGCTGCACGTGAAACTGTGGTGAACAAAAAGGCTCTTTTATAAAGCCTTAACAGCTGTCAAAATGGGTTTTTTCAATTGTTTTGATTGTATTATTTGTAAATGTTTATCATTATATCAAATGATCACTTAAAGCTCATCATTTAATTCAAATCAAAACACTGAAAAATTGTGTTGATAGCTATTGTGGCATTAAATTTGACCCTATTACAAATGAAAAATTTGCTGAACAGAACAACCTTTGTGTCCCACTTTTCAGGACATGTTCTTCTGTAAAATACAATCATTTCTATTAAATCACAATGTGACAGATTTAATACTGCTAATTCATGTTCAAAGTTACTATTATCAAATAAAGTGTATGTAGTTTTTTAAATGTGTATAGAACAATGTAGCTCAGCTCCAAGTTTTAGCACAAAGATTGACACTATTTCCTGTTATTCATCAGTATTTAATAGCCCAAAAACCAAAACGAAGAAAGACAATAATGTTATTGCCTCTGTGTGTTGTTGTGTGTATTTGTCACAAAAATTCCCATGAACCTCTGGATTAATTTGAATGAAACTTTGAGGAAATAATTATTAGAAAACTGATAAACCRTCTTCAGTATGGCTGCCAGAACTAACTGTTTTTAAAAACACAAAAACGGCTTTAATTTTCCCAATTCTGAGCTAAAATTGAATATTATTATTTTTATTATTTATTTACAGTTATTTAACCAGGCAAGTCCCATTGAGATCTCAGATCACTCTTTTAAGGGAGGCCTGGGCCTGAAGGCATCCTGTTGTGCATGTTTTTAGGGGTGGTGGAAACCGGAGAGTAAGGATGGATTTATCTCCAACATAATTTGATTGGTAATATTGTTTAAAAAATGCAAGAAAACTGAAGATGTTTGGTACTGAGTCTGACTCCATTTTTGATTTTGTCACAGTCTCAGTGACCCAAATAAAAGATACCAACAGATTAGCAAAGATTTGACTCCTAATCTCCCTCAACTTTCCAGATTTTGCAGGATTACAGGATTACAAAGAAACAAGTAACTGAATGGTTGATTGTCAGTTGTAATTGTATACTTTACCCACCTTCTACAAAGCTTTTATCTCAGGGTCACATGCTCATTAACCTGCTCATTCACTCAATATCTTAATGAACATTGCTGCCCGCTACACACACACACACACACACACACACACACACACAC